TCGGAACAGGTCATCTAATGAACCGCGCTTCTGGTTGAGTGCCTGTTGAGAAGGTTCTGGCGTAAGACTAAGACGATTGGGATCCAATAAACCTTGCAAAGCTACACCAGCAGTAACCACGCGACCGAGCGTTGGCGTTTGTGATTTGGAACGAACGGACTCAAGAGCGGGCGGTGCTGATGGAAGATCGGCATCTACAACAGGCGTCACAAAGCGCGGTAATTTTGGCCGTACAGAGTCAGCTGGCGCTGTAGAAGCTTCAGGTGGCGGTAGTGCGAGCTCTTCAGAATCCGATGGCCCAGCATCATGCGTCGTGTCTACGGACGGCCTGGTGTACTCGTTCCTGAGTGATGACTTGACAATTGGGGCCGTGGTGTTCTGTGCCTCTTCTGGTTTGGGCGGACTACGTGGCCCATTGCTAAGCAGTGTATCGAGAGATATCATGGTGAAGCTCTCGTTCTGAATAGTGGTGTCGTCGACCATTCTCGTCATGGCCTGGTCAGAGCCGAATCCTGCGGCATCTCCGTCTTCGGGTCCGTCGTCCTCGAAGGCTTGACCGTAGTCATCACCTGCGTCGCTGGAGTGAACGGAGCTTTCGCTGGGTGTTGGTAGGCTTGCGTGACCGTCTTCAGAGATATCAACATCGACATCGGCACCTTCACTGGTTGGTATAGGATCCCCGTCCTCTCCACTATCCGGTGTAAGAACGTCGCTTCCCTCCTCTTCGTGTTCGTCAGATTCCATTAGCACCACCTTGTTCGCATGCGGAGTGCCCTGTCGCGTCCGTAGATCCTGTCGCATGCTTCTTTGTATCGGCGAGCTTAGATTGGGTAGCTCCTCAGCGTGCATCACCGCATCGCTCATGGTCTCGGTAGTGGGGCCGGGGAAATCTGCGAAGTGGGCGCTCTTCCTTGAGGTCCCCGACTTCGAGCTTGAAGGATATACGGGCGTGACATCTTGCGCAGAGCCTTCTCGTGTGTCTGATATCTCTGGCGGTAGTTGCACGTTCTTCCTGGGCCGCCCTCTCCGTTTCTTGGGCGGTACATCGGTATCCACGTCGGCTGCGCTCGACTCCCCAGTCTTCATGTTGGTCTCCGGGGACCTAGATCGTGCGGCTCTCTTGACTGGTGTTCCCTTTCGCTTTGGCTTCGGGGTGGCCCCTACGTCAGACTTCCTGGGCCGTCCGCGAGGGCGTTTGACGGGAGATGACGCCTCGTGATCCTTCAATGGTACCGTCGTTGTCTTCGTTCTCGTGACTCGCTTCACGGATGGCGACTCAGCGTTTACTTCGTCACTTCCGGGCTCGGCCTGGACGGTGACCTTGATGCGCCAGGGGCTTGCGCCGCCCGCTCGTGGTGTGCTCATGATCATCGACTTGGTGGGCGAGGAGAACATCATCTCAGATGCCTCGAGTCTGCGGTTTTGCTTGCTCGGCGAGCTTCGTGGCATTGAATCTCTTGGCAAGGGTTTTCGTCCTGACATGGGGATGGAGCCGTCAAAGGAGATGGCCAGCGGATCCGGGCTCGAATCGTAACTGCGGTCGGTATGGGCATCGTCACCTGCCGTTGCGCTTCGACCGCGGGGCGCCATGTCTTGGAGACCGTTCCGAGGGGTGTCTTGGATGTTAGTGCGATAGGAATGGTACAGGTGGGGAACAAACGTGCATCCGTCAGAATGCGGGACGGGCCACGCGACGTTGTCAGGGTAACTATCTTATCAACCCCCAGCTAGTCGCGACACCACGAACAAGGCAGCCTGCCACACAGTCGTTTGCAGGTTATGGAGTCGCGATGGGTATTCATGGGTAAGCTGCGCATTCTGCACGGAGTTGGTCTCTACTAATTCTCGCAGTATCTACAAGGAGATTGGCCCGGGAAAGCGCGTAGCCCTCTCTAAGCTTGCTGTTGAAAAGTTCGAAGAGACCGGTCGTCCACTGCGCATTGCTATCGACACATCCATATGGCTTTTTCAGATACAGGCTAGCAAAGGTTAACACTCCCGGTTTCGCGCGTGCTTGAGTTATGCTAAACGTGAATAGGCGGCACAAACCCCGCTTTGCGCACCTTCTACTATCGCCTCCTGCGTCTCATCTCCCTTGCGATCCATCCCGTCTTCGTCTTCGATGGACCGAACAAGCCGCCCTTCAAGCGCAACAAACGCACTGGTCCGAACGTCGCCTCCATCCCTGAATTTCTCGCAAAGCAGCTGTTGAAGCAGTTTGGATACCCTATACATCTCGCGCCTGGCGAAGCTGAGGCAGAATGCGCGCTGCTCCAGCGAGAGGGGATTGTGGATGCTGTTTTGAGTGAAGATGTAGACACTCTCATGTTCGGAAGTGGCATCACGATACGCAACTGGTCACCGGAGAAGTCTGGAAAAACACCAACCCACGTCAACGTATACGATGCGGTCGAAACGAAGAACGGACCGTCAGGGTTGGATCGCGAGGGTATGATCTTGGTCGCGCTCATGAGCGGAGGAGACTACGTTCCTGAGGGTATACCTGGATGTGGTCCGAAGACAGCATGCGAGGCGGCGAAGGCAGGCTTTGGCGCAGACCTATGCAAGATCTCCAAGAACGACTCCAGAGCCATGGCCGAGTGGCGGGAGCGACTACAGCATGAGCTAAAGACGAATGAGAGCAAACTCTTCAAGCGGAAGCATGGCGCTCTCAAAATCCCAGACGACTTCCCGCGACTGGACATTCTAGGTTACTACACACATCCGGCGATTTCAAATCAAGCTGGATTGGACAAATTACGCCGGTCAATCCACTGGGATCAGGACATCGACTTTTCGGGATTACGCGAGTTTACCCATGATGCGTTCGACTGGGTCAAGCTCGAAGGCGCAAAACACTTTGTTCGCAGTCTAGCGCCATCATTGGTGGTGCGACAGCTACGCTTACGTGCTGGAAGCCTCGATCGGTTGCCCTCAAACGATATCCAGGCCATACAAGAAGACGAAGCCCTTCTCATCAAAGGGTTACATGGGAAACGACAGCACCCAGTCACAGACAACTGTACTGAACTACGGGTCAGCTTCACGCCTATCGAGCTTGTGAAAATCGACCTTAGCAAGGAAGATCCGGACGACGATGTGGAACTGCCACCACCCAGTTCCCAACAAGCTGGAGGGGATGCAGATCTCGATGACGATGATCTGGAAGAAGATGGACCCAAGAAGCGCGGACCTACGAAGTTTGACCCAGAGAAAGCTGCGCGGATATGGGTGATGGAGACCTTCGTCAGGGTTGGCGTACCACTCAAAGTTCAGGACTGGGAAGTCGAGCGACAGACGAAGCAGAAGCCCAAGCGTGCAGCAACTGTGCAGGAGTCTGGCAACGCTGCACCAAAGGCCAAGGCCGCACCCAGGCGAACGAAGACTGCCGGAGATCAACCACAGGCTCGCATCGAAACCTTCGCCAAAGTAACCAAACCGGGCTCAAAGCTCTCGCGAGCCCTTGCGAAGACACAAGAAAAGACTGTCGAACCTCCTCTCCCTGTCCGGAAGCCTGTGCCACAGGAAGACGATGTGGTTAGCCTACTTTCTTCTTCCCCGGTGAGGACTCGGGTCACAGTACCGCCACCACGTCCTGAACGTGAGAAGTCGCTATCTCCTGTTCTCCCAGACCTACCTCCAAGTGTGAGCAAACGGAGAAGACGCGCACCGATCCAACGTTCGAAGACGCTACCGGCTAATACCAGCAGTATCCTCGGTCGGCCTTCTACACCACCCCTTCTGGATACGATAGAAGTATTGGACTTGGCGGACTCACCAGCACATCCCTCTCCTTCTCAACTGCCCGCGAAGAAAGCAAGAACACGGAACACGAAAGCCGCACCGGCTGCAAGAGCGTCTCGGGGTGTGTCTGTAGCATCGCAGGCAACATTGGATGCATGGCGAGCATCGGTCACTCCGACTAAACGGCGAGGTGTGACACCAGCACTCGATGCAGCACCAGTCCCAGCACCACCAAAGCTCCGATCTCTATCGGAAGAAGCAGACTCGCTGGATTTGACCCTTTCTTCGCCGGAACGGTCAACGCGACACCAGCGAAGTAGCAGCGTACAACATCCCACAACAACATCTACGACGCGTCCACCATTGACGTCGATATCATCGAATGCGTCACACATCTCTACAGCATCCTCTACGTCTAATAAGAAGAAGAGCATAAAAGATGTGTTTGGTGTATCGCGAACTCGCCGTACCTCGCCTCGTCTCAGCAAAACCATGTCAGCGCCTTCTGAAGTCGAATCTCTTGACCTCACATCGCCACGCCTTGTTCCAGCGAAGCCAAGATCAGAATCGCCAAAACATGATGCCCTGGATCTCACGTCACCAGGACTCCTCCCAACGAGACCACAATCAGTGTCTCCAAAGGCCGATACGCTTGACCTGACGGAGCTCTCATCGCCGGTGATTGAACGCGCACCAGAACCTCGTGGGAAACCTGCAGCCCCTACACCAGCATCTCCCCCACCGACTCACACATCACCTTCTTCTCTCCGCCGATCACCGCGCAGCCACGAATCGACTTCACCACAATTGCCATCTCGAACGTCACCGCCAGCAGCATGGAAGACACGAGAGAAGAAAAAGCGAGCAATCGTTTTGCGGAAAAGCATTGTCGGTGCTTGGGACTTTGTGGACGTGGACAGCCCTGAGGAAACGGGGGACAGTGTAGCGGGAGTTGTACCAAAGGGAAGAGATAGGCGGAAATGGAGAGAGAGCGCCGTAGAGGTTCTGGATCTTACATAGCCTTGGTTGGCTATGTTCTGAATGTGGGGCTGTGCATTGGTCAGGCGATACATGTTTGGGTTTTTGGTTCTGTACGATGCATATGAAGCGCGGAGTTGTTGATATACCACTTTGAATTATTATCTTTAACATGGAAGAAACCTCAGAAGTTTTCCAGACTGGCCGTAGTAGGGTGGGAACAGCCAAGCTTTTGGTCCCTGCATTCCCGAACCTTCATCGCACATTCCAGCTACGACTCAGCTTTCCAATCTGTCATACCACTGCCCGTTGCGAATGACCTCCCGCGTTCCGGTCTGAGTGAACACACGATCGGTGATGCTCACATGGTCTTGCACCACTCGAGACTGACCGGCGGTAGTAAGCAGGATCCGAAAGCGGCCTGCGAAAGACCCCTGGTGCCTGAAGAGGATCTGAAGAAAGTCATTGCACCAACTTGCGCCCGCTGCGAACGTCAGATCGTTTAGACCATCTATAACGCATGTTCCGAGATGCGGAGTCGCTTGCAAGAGAGCCGAGAGCATCTCAAGAGCAGTCGGCCAACTTTCATCTGACCCGTCGAGCTTTTCTACCCGCGACTGAACAACTCCGAACGCGTCGTCTTCGAACTCGAATTGCAAAAGCTGAGCGATCAGACTGTACACCATTCCAAGCAGACCGACTTTCTCGACGTCGCGATCTCTTTCAAGTGTCGCAAACCGAGGTCGCTCACAGAAATGCGATATGATTGGGAGCTCTGCTGTCCATGCTGCGACCAGTGCATTCAAAGCAGCTGCCCGTGAGCCTGGTATATCAGGCGGTGAAAACTCCAAGGTCGTAATCCATAACGTAGGAGAGCTTGCTTCGTTCCCTATCCAATCCTGGAGTTTCGAGGCTACGTCGATCTCTGGAAGCCAAAAGCTACCGTCATTGAAGAGAGAGTGACCTTCAGTCCCGACAACATAGTGCTGCAGATCGGCAGCCAGCTTCCCTGCAGTTACGCGATTGATCAGATCGGGTGCCTTTGTGTTTCCATTGAAAAGAGCCGGGAACTCGCCACGCCCAGAATTTGGTACAGATTGGACAGCAGAGGCTTGGATGCACATACTCTTATGCAAGCTCAACAGCAACTGCTGTGCTCTTCCCCCTGCGAATATCAGGTCAGATGCATCGGGACTTTGATGTCTTTGTCGCATAATCTCATTGTGCCGCTCTTGTTCAGTATGCATGATCTTTTGCATAGCAAATTGAGCAATGTTCTGTAACCGATACATCTCAGCAACGGTATCCTCAATCTCTTTTGCGGCCTTTACGTATCGATCCTTCATCTTCTCATTGAAGCTAGCAAAGAAACGTGAGGTTCTGCTTTTCATATACCATTCTATGGCGTCGCGATAAAAGTTGAACACGCGCGCGTAGAGTTCTGAGAACAACATCCGTATCTCACGCGTGTACAAGACCAGTAAGATCTTGGCGGCGCGTGCTGCTTTCTCAGTAATCGCAGTCACAGTCTCCGAGATGGTATCGGCGATTTCATCGTGATTGACGGCAGCAGCAATGATGAATTTAAGACTACCACATAATGCAGATGTGTAGTCGTTCTGGGATGGAAAGATCGCAAATGCATTCTTGTGGGCATCGAGTCCGCCACAGAGTCTCCGAAATCGCTGAGCAGACTAACAATCTGGTAAGTATGGTACATTCAATCGTCTGCCTTCGTGGTTATTATCTCACATTCGACTGTTTGCTCTTCCATGCACTTTCAAGACCGTTCACATAATCACTTAGTTGAGTAAAACCGTAGACGTTTCTGCTCTCTAGGGCTTCGTTCGCCGTCATTCGAGCCGTCTTTCGAGTCAGACCTATCTTCGCTAATGTCGACGGTTGTTCTGGTGTTTCAAACATCTGGCGTGTCTTCAACAACAAAAGCCTGGCGGTCTCAGCCTCGTGAAAAAGAGCATTGCTTCCACACCTGTCAGCCTCTAGATTTCAAGGTACGCACGTTTAAACCGACCTTGGATTCTCATCCTGAAGCAAAGCCCGCATTCGTGCTTCCATGCGCGCTTCTGCGATGGCATCTTGCTCTTGTTGCGCACCGGTAGTAGCGCGCTCGAGCGTTGTATCGCCTTTCAGTTCACCTGTAAATCTTCTTACCAGAGTCAATCCTTCCTGGTGCTCGACCTCGTTTTGTGCAAAAGCGTCTCCAACCGACATTTCAGCAGATGTGGAAACAAGATTGAAGTCCATATTACTCGACTATCTGCATAACACGAACGAGGCTATGCATACCCCGCGCTGTATTGGTCACGATTATGCAGATCAATCCTCCGCCTCCAAGGCTGAGTATGATATGCATGCCATGTGTTTATTCTAACGAATCGCAGCCTGTTTATCGTTATCTCTGTGCTACCTCGTGTACTTTCAAGCGGGCTGTTTGTAGTCTGTTGCATGGCGTATCCTGCCACAAACGCCACAACTAGGTCACAGTGGGTGTATTTAGCTGCTTACCACCCTTCTTATATCAGCTCATGCATACGTTGAGTATAGTACAGATATACTGACCGGTGAGATTGATGATCTATTCCCGATTCAGGCAGATCAGTACCTAGTCAATTTCACCGTAGCCCAACGCGAGGCCGTCTTCGATCCGTTAAGCTCTTTCGCACTCCTTTCCTCCTCAACGCTGTCTACTCAACGCTGTCTACTCAACGCGGGCAAGAAATCATGCATTGATCATATGCTTGCATTTATCACAGTACTCTTTGCTCAGGCTCTATTGATTACTGGGGATTGTTACCCATCGAGAGCCATTCGGGTCTACGGCTGCCCGCCATGGCAGCTGTAGAGATTCCTTTGCCGGTCTCTATGCAGAATGTTCCACAACACAACGTAGCTCAGCACTCTGTTCATACCTCCGAGCCTGTTGAAAATGCCTCAACTATTGACGGTGACAAAGATGCCTCTATCTTCACCGATGACGTGGGAGGTGTACCTTCCACAACAGCGACTTCAGAAGAGTCTCATGAGGCTGACAAAACTGCTGATGCCAGCAGTAAGAATTGCAAGTCTAAATGAAGATACATGACTGACAGACTCTGTAGACCATCCTCCTCATGAGACTAAACTTCCTAAAGAGAAGCACAGAGAAAAGATTCTCATGGAACGTCTCAGTTCCGCTATAAACAAGGCGATCGCAGCTGATTCCAACACTAACACCGACTTGAAGGTGGTAACAGATAAGAGAAGCGAGCAACGCTATATCAAAGTTAGATTCGGCGGTTCGGAACGTTACGTCGTGCCTTGGACGGCGTGTTACTCCTGGCGTGTAGGCTTCTAACCTACATACACTGCGAATGTAGCTGCTGACTACTACAGGCCATGGAAGCACTTCTAATGGAGTGGTATCGCGAAGATGAAGACACTCTGCGTGACATCAGTAATGGCGACATCACCATCTTTCACAGCGTCAACGGCTTCATACATCCGCAAACTTGGGAAGAGGTTATCGAGCATGACTCTCAGATTGACTTTTGGGCTCACTCTGCGTATGACTCGGACGATTCAGACGATTCAGATCCGCCAGAAAGTAAACAATACGAAAGCAGTGTGCAATATGTTGTTAACTTCCGACGAAGTGGGGCCGACGATAAAGAGTATTTGGTTACAACAAAGATATACAAGGAACCTGTGGAATTCGAGGTTGCCGACAACAATGATAGACTACCTGCGTTACAAGAGATCAAGGATGTTTTATCACCGCATCATCAGGACACAGAGACAACCGGAGAAATCACCGATGGCAAGAAGACGAAGCTTGGAGCCCATGATCGCGTCGTCGACACAAGCCTGAGGATCAACTCTCAGTATCTTCTCAACGTTCTCAAGTCTATGATCACGTACACGGTCGATTCATCCGAAGAGCGGGCGAACGATCTAGTCACTGGCCTGTTCTATCACCCTTACCAAGAACTCTTTCACTATCTTCCAGACTTGCTTGAGTACCAGAACAAAATCGCAGCTCTCCGTAACAAGCATACCACTTTTTTCAATGAGAAGTTCGATGAGCATCTGACCCTCCTCAACGATTACCTGCATTCGAAGTCTGGTGTGCCGACCGAGGAATTTAAAGCGCGCCTTGAAAGGAAGACACCCACTGTCACATTTGCTACGTACTGGTTGCTGCTCAAAACGGGAACCGAGGTATACGTTAGAGAGAATGATGGATCTCTCAATGCATATATATTACACTCGGTGCATGGGGGGCCCTCTCAGCGTGGAGGGGAAAAGATCGATCGCAGTTATAATATCCTTGTCTGGAACCTGATGTTTGATGGGAGATACTTAGCACCCCGCCTCCGGAACCTTCAGATTAAGGTCTTTGATAACGAACGAGATATCACAAGTCTCACCGTTTTTCCATCTCGCTTCATTGATGACAATGACAGTGGCAAATTGGAAGAAAGGCTTGTCGAGCGTGGCAAACACTACTTTGCTTACTCTAAAGCACCAGCTTTCCTACAGTATACAGGCAATGGTTTAAAGGTTGCGCATAAGACGGTAGGGTTCTTGGTCTTTATTTGAACGTGTTGCGGCTAATGAGTGGTAGTACAAACGTGCTCGTGTTGTCGTCGAACATGCCTCCTCGCCCTGGAATGAAAAGGAGTTTGACCACCTTACTCATCATGTCCCTCTCGCATTCACGGAAACCGTTCGCGTGGCGACCCGCGTGGCGCGCTGTGAGTGCAAGGATTGCCGAATGTCCTATGACTTGCAGGAGACATACGATAAAACACCTTTCAGTGATTACCTCGATATTGTACCCAGTAAGACTGAAGCGCTTGAGCGTCAACAGTATAAGATCATGGCTTCTCATATGTTTGCGTTTGTCTTGAAAGATCGAACATACGGTACGTTCTTGAATTCATACTGAGACATGCCGGCTGACTTCAAGTAAGATCTGTTGGCTGTTGAAGGACTCGAACAAGCGAACATGGCTGAAGACGCTATCAGTAGTCTCGTGATGGAAGACAACAACAAGGAGATGATCAAGGCAATAGCTCGGACTTACACCGATAGTGACCAGTCTTCAAGATTCAGTGCAGACTTCATCCACGGTAAAGGCGAGGGCCAGATCATCCTGCTGCATGGCCCTCCCGGTACTGGGAAAACACTCACGGCTGGTAGAACTTCATTCAAATGACCTTGTAGCAGATATGCTGATTGCTTTCTAGAATCTGTTGCCGAATATACCAGGCGACCATTGCTTAGCATCACCGCAGCCGACCTAGGTCACGAGCCCGAAGCGTTAGAGGAGAGCCTGTTGCGCTACTTCAAGAGGGCCAGTGATTGGGATGCTATAGTTCTGCTTGACGAAGCAGATGTATATCTTGAGCAGCGCACGACTCACGACTTGAAGCGCAACAGCATTGTGTCTGGTAATGTAAGCCCATGGCCATGAGGGAACAAGTCTGATACCCGATTTAGTGTTTCTACGGGCGTTGGATTACTTCCAGGGCATACTCTTTCTGACCACAAACCGTGTGGGTCACTTCGACGAAGCTTTCATGTCACGCATTCATCTGTCGCTTGGATATGAACCGCTCAGCGATAACGCACGGGAAAAGATCTGGGACAATCTGTTCAAGAAGCTACAGCAGGATCGCAAACGTGGCGGACCTGAGATCACCTACGAGTATGACGCCAAGAGATATGTCCAAAGCCGCGACGTTCAGGCTCTGGAATGGAATGGTAGAGAAATTCGAAACGGTAAGCTGACAAGCAGTCGCAAATTCGTCCATTTGACTAACAGAAACCCTCGTCAGCTTTCCAAACCGCTGTGGCGTTGGCTGTGTTTGATGCCAAGTACAAAACAAGCGGCAAAGTGCCAGAAGTAACAGAAGCCCACCTCAAGCAGGTCGTCTCGATGTCTTCAGCGTTCCGAAAATATATGACGGCAACGCATAGCGGTATGGATGCCTCGTCCTGGGCGCATAAGCATGGTAATCGCGAAGACAAGTATCCGAACACGCCGGCGAAGTAGGAAATTTATGGAGAGTCGGGAATGCTTTGGCGTCCTACCGGCACAACAATAGCGCTGGTGATGGTCAATTGCTTAGGAAGATCGAGTCGTACGGCAAACTACACTATCTAAGTGTGATCTTCCTTTGGTAGCGTTCCAGCGCTTTGCACAGTCAGTAGTTCTTTCTTAAATAACGTACGTTATCTTATGTGACCATGTGCAAAACACTTCCTCAAGACAGAAGTTCGAAAAGTTGTGCGGTGGCCATTAGGATAGACCTCTGGAAAAATGGGGTGGCTGGACGCGTTTTGTTCGCGATGCAGGGTCCAGAGACGCGAAAGTTGGACCCCGGTGACGAAAGCTCGGTAAAGCTGGGCACCTGCGCTACCCAGACGTCATTTCAATGCACCAAGAACTTGTATCATCATAATCATCATTAGGCTGCGACGCTATGAGTTTGCAGTCCGATGCTAATGTACATTAATGCCAGCCCACCTGTTCCGATGTGCTTGTCATCGAGACATGGTCGATGATCCCTACCCACAATGAAACCCCCTAGTCGGAGACTCGAATAGAGACTAAATATATACATCAACAGAACTTCTTTCATAGTCTTTCGTCGCCCAGGTTCGATGCAGAAATTATTCAGGATAGAAGCTCGTCCAGGCGCGTAGTCCAAGACGCCGCTGAGCCACCACCATCTACCCGGGGTCCAGCAATAGAGATAATATCACTCTGAACCGGTGAGTCGCTCTGCACAGCGTCACCACATCCCACAATTCACTCAGCGACGTGCGGGTTCACATGATGCATAGCATCTGTTAGCCCGCACAAGGCTGCCTTCCCGCCCGCGCGAGCGCACTCCTCTTTCTGGCAAACATGCGCGTTGATGCAATCCAAGCTTCGACATTCATGTCCTTTGGAACATGGTATTCCGAGTGCTTTGTACTCTGTGGTGGTCAAAGGAATCCAAATACGAAATCTGCGCAGTTCGAGTGGCGGGACGCCGATAGAGGAAGGGGCCAGGGACTGAGATCAAAACAAGGTCTTGCCAAGGCATGGCGGACGATTAAAGGCAGACCATTCGAGTTCACCTTCACCGTGAAGCCGCTATACCCAGGACAAGAGGCTGTGTTTGTTTACATTAGTCTCAACATCACTGGCAATTGCAACGCAGAGACATCGTGTAGCTGCACTTCCGCCAGAGCGACCGTTGTCGAGGAGCTCGTTATAGAACTAATAAGACTTTCTATAGATGCAAGAGTTTAAGTAAGAGAACAGCTAGTTGATCTGGTATCGTCTGGTAAATGAGAACACTCTCCGAATCGAGAGCGAGTCATGCTATCCCCTTGTATTGATACAAAACAAACGTGTAGCAGAATGTGCTACGTCCCGTGCTTGTAGAGCACTATCAAATGGTATCTTTCTACACTATCCGCCTCATCACTCCAGAAAGAAACAGGCCGCGTCATGTAGTGCGCAAGCATGTTGAAACCGACGCTATCACGCCCTTCGTAAACGCGCGTCACCAAACAAAAGAAATTCAACGAAGTACAATGTCCGCCCTCGTAGGGTTATGTTGTAGCCACTCGTCTTCGTGTATCCGCGCAATCGCCACTCGCTCCGCATGCTCACCGACCCACTTAATCAGCATGACATTCAGCATCTTCCAGGGTCCGGTCGCAAATTGCTCGTCATGGTCGTGGACGCGCGAATCCCAAAGGAATCGCTCTCCGTTCCAGATGGGTGTACCTGGGGGGTGCATGGTGTTCAAGCCAGGTTTCCGGCTGTCGGGTGAGGGCTCGCGCCATAGGCTGCGAGATAGCAGAACAAACTCAAAGGGACCTGTGGATGATGGCTCAGATATCGCTGATTCGTAATCCATTATGACACCGCAGTGCGAATTCTTCTCAACGTTGATGAGGTGTGAGCATGGAATATCCTTCTCTTCATGCTGTATTTGTTCTGCAATGAAGGCGTCCGCAGAGATGGTTTGTGCTGTAAAACGAAGCGTATTCGACTCGTTGCTGTGATCTGATCCGCGTGGTGCGTGGAAATATGGCGGGTACCGGATGCGCAGGGAGTTGCCCTTTTCGCGTCGGACTGTATATTGCGCCGACTCGGGCCCGATGTGAAAGTTTACCACCTCTGACTGGAACCATTCGCCCTCGCTCCGTGGAATTTTGTAAATATCTGGGCAGGTAGTAGGGTCGAATGGAAAATTAACCGGACCCTCATATGCAGTCCAGCTCCAGGACGGTTCGTTGACATCCTTCTTAATCATCTGCCCTGCAGGACACCAAAGTAGAGAGAAATCAAATACTGCCTCTGGCAGGCCGTGAAGAAAGTTGCCTCCGCAGTTTTTCGTCAACGCTTTGGAGGCTTTCGAAAATTCCTTCGATGGATAGGCCTGGTTCGGCGTTATGGTGTTGCTGACTAGTTGGTTGTACTTTCGAAATCCAAAGAACCAATTTTCAATTTCACTAAAGTCCGCGTCTTGTGATTTGTTGCTTGAGAGGCTGGCATTTGATGATGAGCGCAACCTGTTGACTAACTCCATAACGGAACCACGTCGACCAGATGAACTTGAGCGCGGTGATCGTGAGCCATCGCTGTTGCTAGATGCTTGTACTGGCTCTGGTGAAAGTAGGCCGTTTGCTGTTGTTGGCCGTGACTCTTTCTGGGGCGACGTCGATCGTCGAGACATTGGGCGTCGTATCCAGGAAGGCGATAACCGATCTAAAGCGGAAGGTGGATCTGTGGACATGACGAGCAGCGACATGGAGGGAATTGTGTTGTAGAGAAGTAATAAGTGTCGGCGTCGGTCAAAGCTGTGATAGAGTGCGCTGTAAGTCTCCTACTGGCAGTGTGAAGCGTCAGACCTCAAGTGTCACAGAGGCTGCCTCGCCTTTTGTGTCCGACTCCTGTAGCAGTGTTGCCGCTACGGCTGCGCCCCTTTGGTTGTGTTGTGAGGTATGTCAGTGAAATGTGTGCGTGACGACTTGCGGGCACTAGGAGGCTGTGCATGATCTGGATCACCGGCTCCACAACGCCCCAATTATCTGCTTCGAGTGCGCGCCAGTGGTTTCCAATGGAGTCGCGTCTTGCCGAGACTTGTACCTGGCCTTGACTTGCTTGTTTCCCCGGATATAAAAAAGATACGCACAGAGTCAAGTGTTACTCGAGCGACGACCTGTCTCCAGGGCTGTTCCCAGGTAGCGTCGCTCGATAGGGGAGGCGCACACTGACATGGCAATCTTGCGCAGTTGCTTCCGGCGACTGACACCGGCCGCTTGACCTTCCCATCTACTATGAGTGAACGCGTAGGTGCACAGAAAATCTCTACAGCATGGATAAGCTTTCCTGGTGCCAAGTTTTCTTCGAGGTCTGCGAGGGTGCGAGGGGGTGGCGGATAGTACTGCGCCACATGTCGATGCAACGAGAACAGGGCAGCGGCCTATCCAGGGAAAAGACTATGGCATGACAATACCAAGGCGAGGTGTTTGGTTCTAGGTTCAAGTGGCCGTCGGGTGGAGGTGTGGCTAGTGGGCACTAAGACGAATGCGGCCCAACGCCACCTGCGCCACAACTGAGGGGTCAGTCGCCCTCTCCGTGTCGTTGGGCTGTAGGCTGCTGTGACGCGTTTACTCCGCGTAGCTTCATAAAATCAGCTGGCAACGACATCGGCCGACACGCAAATCCCAACCTAACACTGACAAATCGCCACCATGTCTGGCTACGAAGGTAATTGCGGGTAAACACAGGCGCCGTGCAAAGACTGACGCAGACAGTCGAACACAACATCTCCACAGAGGACGACAAGTCGCGACAACCCTCACGTCGACCAGACCTCTCGACGTTCTTTTCTCAGCTTGAACTGGTGGACACGTCGGATCCCCACGCTCACACAAATGCCAATGCTCTACCGCAGCCCGAAAACATGACGGCGGCATTCCGCTTGCTTGCCAACGCTTTTGAGACTATGCGCGGACGACCAGCGGACGAGAGCAACGAACATGGGGATCTGTTGGCAAACATGATTGAGGTACTCCGTGCCAATGCCGACGATCCGCCCACAGAGTTGAAGGGTGTGCCCAACAGCTTCTTGGATGAACTGGAGCGGGTACCGAAGAAAGCGCTGAAGCCTTCCGATACATGTCCCATCTGTGTGAACCCATTCCTTGAAGGTAGGTCGCGTGCCTCAGTGAAGCGAACGAGGAGCTCGGCTAATTGGTACATGCATAGACAAATATCCCCTCGTTGTCCAGCTGCCGTGCCACGAGGATCATCGCTTCGATCTGGACTGCATAGGTCCTTGGCTTAAGCTGAATTCAACATGCCCTCTGGATCGCAAAGAACTTTTGAAGAAGAAGCAACCGCCACCCCCGCCTGCGGACGATGAAGAAGAAGACTATGATGATATGTACGCCTGAGAATGTTCCGCTTTGGCGCCATCACAACGCACCGGAATTAGGGTATACCAACATCTAGCGGATGAGCATGGATGGACCATCATCGATCAGGCGCATAAACGGATCGTACCGGATATTGAAACTTATTGCGAAACATATCTAGAGGCTCAGCACTGGGCAATGGTTTGGCGCCACGCCTTCGCCGCCAGCTCGTGGATCGAATGGAATCTGACATATCTTCCCCACCATGCCTGCCCTCCATCTTGATCTAATGGGTCCTTGACCGAGTGGGTTCTTTACCGACCCCCCTGCACCAACTGCTGGCCTTGCTGCACGAGCGCTGCAGGGAGTAAGAGCTCCTCACTGCCATGCATGACCGCATTGATGAGTGCAAGCGCAAGCTCGTCATATCGAATGAAAGAGCCAGAGGAGCCTGCAACCATCATCGAAGCTTCACCAATAATACTACCTCTCTGTACGACCATGCCTGGTCGAGCTACGATCGTAATCCAGTTCTCGTGGGTCTTTGCAAAGTCGACCATTTGAACTTCGCCCCGGCCCTTTGCAAAGTCAGCACTTTGGCAGCTTGTTTCTGGTCATTCTATCTGCAATATACGCGCGTGGTCTATAGAACGAAAAGAATCGCCTACTTTGGTCTTGCGCATGGAGCCTTTCATCCATAATGACCTGTCTTGATCGCGTTCAACCATGCCACCTGACAAGTGTAAATACCGAAAAGGCTTTGCGCCGACTGGCATTGTCGATGCAAAGGCCTCAGCGAACGCCTTGGGATACTCTAATTCTAACACAGGATTACCAGCAGTCGTTGTCATACACCTTGACAACATTAGTAACTAATGGCGCGAAAAGACGCAAGTGGCTGGGTACCAGATGCACCCATCTGCTCCGGACAGCTTCGCAAGCACATCATCGGGGTATTTTGTAAAGTCCTCAAGCAGCACTACCTCGAGCTTAGCGTGCGTCTCGATCCCGGGTGGGGGCCGTCGTGACAATGCGATAACCGTCGATACGAGTGGATTTCGTAGCGCGTGATGCAATACATGCGCACCGATGCGACCAGTGACACCAGAAATTACGATCTTGAAGGACATGTTGGTGACAAAGTATCCGTGTCCGAGAGGTTTGTCAACATCGCGCGTGGCTCTGTTTATGTGACCTCCTACACCGCGGAGATTGGCCGCATAAGCACTGGTCGCCCTGTGGATTACCTCCGCCGGGGCATCTTTCCTGCCGGTGGTGTCTCAGTAATTCCAATTCCCTAACTCCATCGCCGGACGAGCCTTCAGAACAACGAAAGGAGATCAGAACACCTCGAGAGTCTCAACAACGAGGGATTTTCAGACATTAAGAAAAACCGCGCTTATTGAGGTGGCCATGCTTTTGTACGAGCCGAAGAAGCCGTTGCACATTCCCGGAACCATATGACTTAGTAAACTAGAGTAATGCTCGGCCTCCGTTACGGACGAATCCCGGCCGCCGCCCCGAGGAGTCAGCTCCACATCAGCAATTGCCATCGCAACACCTTCACCCCACTATGAAAGTAACATGGCCGCCCTTATTTGGTATGGTTCCGTGACAGGAATTCGGGTCTCCGTCAACTACATTGCGTCTATTATTTGGTGTCGTTAAGAGTAACATGGATTCATTAAGCAACGCGAGTAACACTTCCAAGAAGAGACCCTCCAAGAGTCTTCGCCGGGCATGCTGGGAATGTGAGATCACAACCCATTCATGTACGCTCAATTATAAATGCTAAACATACTACAGGCAAAAAACCCAAGGTTCAAGTCGATGTTAGCCCAGCGACGATCAGCCCTCGCACAAGTATGGACAACCCAGGACCGGATCGGGTAGACGAAGTAAACCCATGCTCGAAACACATCCAAGAAAGGCTGTGCAAACTCGAGCAGTTATTTGAGAGATTCGTGTGTCGTAAAAATGCCACCACAGCCGCAGTCAATACTGCGCCGCGCAGTCCTACCCTCACTGCTTCAGGCTCTAGTGAGAAAGAAAGCAAACCGGATATGTCCGGATACCGAAGTGACGCGTACAGCATCTCCTCACTGGGCGACGGTATTGTAAGCAGAATTGTTCCCGAATATTGCTTGCACTAATGTTGCTAGCTCGGAGCGTATACATGGACGTCAGCGCCTTCTATCCGTACCTTGGTCGACAAACCGGAGACTAAAGGGCAGCCCGCAGGCTATGACAGAAATCATCGAACACTGGCAGCCCTACTACCCTCACAACATGATGCAGACATCATCTTCGAATCGTCTAATGGGTGGATGATCCTAGAAGGCATCTACCGGGCTTCCAAGGAAATCTATGTTCACAAGGACTTGCAGTCGTATGCTCTGGACATGCAAGCCGTTGCACAAGAGCGAACCATTATCGTGGCGCGCACGCTTTTACATTTGGCGATTTGTATCAACTCTCTCCCACCAGAGTTCGACTGTTCGCGACTCTCGAGCATGTGGAATTTAGACGCAACGATGCAAAACTATGTTTCAACGGTAACATCACTTGTAACTTCCTCAGATGAACAGATGATGACTCTGCATGGACTCGAGACGCTGTTGCTCTTGGCTCTTTTTCACATGAACAGTGCTTCACTGCGGCAGTCATGGCTCGTTGTGCGCCGCGGTCTTAGCCTGGCCCACCTGATGGGATTCCAACGCATTATCGCGCAAGAGGATCTTAACCCGGCAATCCCGGCGGTCACGAATGCAAAATCGATCTGGCGCTCCTTCGTCGACCTTGATCGGTATCTGGGACTTCATCTCCGCCTTCCGTTCGGTGCGGATGACTATCCACTTGCGGCAGACGCTGATGCGCATCTGATCCATCGTTCGAAACTCAATTACATGACGAGACAAGTGGCAGAGCTTGATCGCGATGTCTCACCCCAAGCATACTCAGCGGCGCTGGCACTGGACGAACAACTGGAGTCATGCATGAAGGAGATGCCCAAGGACTTTTGGGAGGTGCCGAACATCCCGTCTACAGCAAGATCACCAGAGTCATTTGCTACGTTGGAACGACTGATGGTGCAGGTCTGGCACTTTGAGATGAAGATATTCATCCACTTGCCTTATTTACTCAGAGCACATCTGGACAACCGATATGATTACTCCAAGGTCACCGCGTTGCAAGCCTGCCGGAACGTTTTGATGAGATGGTTTGCCCTTCGCAACTCAAACATCACACAAGCCTGCTGTCGTTTCGCCGAGATCGGAGTGTTCATTGCCGCCGTCACTCTCACACTCGACATCGTCATTGAGCTGGGCACAAAGGAGAAGAGCGAGGTGAAGAAGACCAAAGGAACAGATTTTGCTATGATCTGCCGCCTTATCGGCGAGATGGAAAAGCTGGCCAGCGCAAGCCCACGTGAGAGAATCGCGGCGCGCAGTGCTGTGGTGCTTAAGAAGATCCTCTCGTCGCTAGACCCGAGCAAACAGCCCGTTGGCAAAGTACGCCATACAATACCGTTCTTCGGAACAGTGGAGTTGGAGTTTATGAAACTGCCCATACGGCCAGTGTTCGACATCGACTCTGATGCAGGCAAGCTGTTGAACGCCACTGCTACGGGGCAACATGTTCCTGTGTTTTCGTTCATCGACAACTCTTTGTGGCCGCCGGCTGACGACGAGTCAGATCAATGGGATATTGTCCTATTTGACGGTCTTGAAGACCGCGATACTCAGGGCAACTGGGTGTTCTAGGATGGTGTTCATTTCGCTTGAGGTATTGTTTAATCCGGATATAAACCACTCTCATCCCAGGGCTCCGGATACCGCCTTGCGTGTGCATTCAGTAGCGCACAAGATCCCTGAGACCCTTTCTTTTTGTTGGAGAACATTGGATGCACGGTTAAATGGGCCAATGATTTTGTTTAAAGTTGTCTCCGGCGCACTGGTTGATTTACCTTTAGCGTATCCTATGTAATATTGTCGGTTTCTGCGTTTGTTTCCTTCAACAATGATATCCCTAGGGGTGGCGAATGGGCACAGGCTGGACAGCGGGGTAAAGGCGTTTCAGTAGCAGTCGCACAACAAGCGCGGATGGTGTGATTAGTATTGCGCACAGGCGAATCGAATTGAAAGATCAAGTCTACCAACAAGCAAAAGCAAAGCGCACTAGTGTCGCCAGGTGATGCACGGTGTTGAGTTGGCAGAGGGTTGCGGCGGCAAGGCTGAGGGAGGGACTGCAATGTGCCGCTGGCTGATAGGCTGATTGGCGCCGGTACCAGCATGAGGAGGGCCGAATACGTATCTATCAAAGTCTCAGCTTGGCATGTCAAGTTTCGCGTCTGTGATGAGAGTATCGGCAGCGTAAGCCGAATATCAGAGTGAAGTGGGAGTTCTAGTCGCGCCTGGCTATCGGTGAGGCCAGAAAGATCGCCCGGAGACGGCCAACGGATCGCCTTCATCCTTGGCCTAAGCCCAAGAACCCTGACTTGCGACCGACGGCTGGCCAAGCCATCTCACACGACCACCTTCGCTTGCGCGACACGACTCAACGCGCTCCACCCGTGCATGTCGCTCCTCTCTCCTCCCCGGCCGTGATTGTGCAGACACCTTCACTCTCGCCAGCAATCTGCGAAGCATGAGCACGCAACACCACGGCAGCCAGGGCGAGTTCTGGGCCTGCACCACCCGCGATGCCCCCAACCCGCCGACGACGCACACCGAGACGACAACGCGGAACGACGCCGTAAATTCGGGAGCCGCCCTCAGTCTGTTCGAATCAATCATCACCCCCTCCCCGCCTGTCCTTGAATCCTTCCTCGCCCAGATCTCCACCGTCACCCTCCTCGAACTCTACCACACATCACGTCATTTGCGCCAGTTCCTGCAAAGGTATCCGCTCGCGTGGAAGACGCTGTCCTTTCGATTGCCTCAGCCCGCTGTTGCAGTGGGCTCGCCAGGCAACGAGACGCCCGAGAACAGGGAACGTCAGTCCAAGGCCTACTCGTTCGACGCACTGCTGAAGCAGATCATATCGCCAAATGGCACACGATTGACTAGCCTGGATCTCTGCAACACGGCCGTGACAGGAATTGCGCTGGTCGGGAGCGTCCTTGCCCCGCGGATCGACACCCTCCAGCATCTGTCCGTACGAGGCTGCAAGAATGTCTCCATCAAGTACCACATTGTCCCCTTTCTGGAGCCATACACATTAAAGGACGCGCCATGGATGCAGAGAGACCTCGCTCTGAAGAGTCTATACACCTACCGTTGTCGTCACCACCGCCGACGACCCTATCTCCCCTCCTCCCTTATTCGGAGAGACTCCGATTCCGACCCCACACACCAGCTCATCGAGATCTGCCACCAATTAGGAATTTGGACAGATACAGCATGGTGTCCGACACCAGGCGGCAGGTGCAACCGGAGGAAGGACTACCACGCAGGAAGAGCAGGACCGCAGAACATGGAAGTCTGGGTACCCTTTGATAGATTATGGCGATCAAGCAACCGCATCGGTCCTGTGGAAGGCACGACAAAGTTGGGCGAACACGATGGCAGACTATGGGAGATTGCTGAGACAGGAGAGGACGGCGAGCCGCTCGGCCCAGAGGGTGGGAACTCCGCAGGAGAAGGCAAGCATGTCCCAGTACACGAGCGAAGGAGCCACACTGCGTTTGTTGAAGAGGTCAAATGTGCGCAATGTAATGACACTATTCTGGAGCGATGCGAGTCTTGCAGTGTCCGCATGCACTGCATGGGTTGCCGAAAGACGCTTTGTGCAAGTTGCGCTTTCAACAGACCGATACCGAGAAAACGCGTGAAGACACGGCATTTTGCAAACCTGGCTTTCGGCAACAGCAGCACATTGGGCGGCACACTTGGACACGCATCGGGGTCTTCTGCACCATTGGAGGACAGGAGTCAAGAAGAGAAGGCTGACCAGAATCGCTTCTGGTGGGCCCCTGGTGCCACCCGATCACCAAATCTCATGAATGAGAGCGCACAGGACGACGACTCATCTGATTCCGAAGACGGCGGGAATAACGGGATGCCAATACCTCCAGCGAATCGAGAGCCACCAAAACTAAACATGCATTGGTGTTGCCTGGAGCCTATCTTTTCTGGTGGTGGCGGCATTGCTGTGCTAGGCACCGGATTAGGCGGCAGAGGCGCTGATAAGATACGCGCAGCACCATTACCGCGGACGAAGGAGTTTGAAGATCCGGACTTCAGCAACACGCTTCGGCCTGTTGACTACGTCCGCGAGTTGAAGAACAACGGCCTGTATGAGTACGTGCTTGGGGAGGATGTTGATATCCTGTCGTACTTGAAGCAGGACTCGCTTGATTTGCAACAGCAAACATGTCCGAGAGGTCTATGCAACGACTGTTACCGAAGCTTCCGCTGGAAAGTGTCATGTCGGGCATGCAAGAACCCCATTTGCAAAGAGCATGATTTCAGAGCGCTAAAGGTCCGCAAGTGTGGCTATCGGGATTTGCATACCGAGCGAGAGCACGTACGATCGCATAACGAGCCGCCACAGCGTCTTGTTATACCAGAGTTCAATCCAAACAGGGCCAGCACACCGGATCCCGAACGCACACCTACAGCATCGTCATCCCATCTAGATTTCTACTCCACTGGTGACAATGAATCTGAATCTTCCGAAACACCCATGTCTCAGTCACAGATCATGGTTGCTCCTCAACATTCGTCAGTCGATATGTCGGCCACAACGTCCCTCAATTCCATCTCAAACCCCGAACCTTTCCAGCTTGCAACCTCGCTCTCTTTTGTGCCTATCAGCACCGGACGTCCACGCTCTTTCAGTGTATCTGGCGTTCGCGGCCGACCCACTAGTGCTTGGTCGCCGAATTCTCAACGTGTCCCGGTTAACCATGCAATCATGAACCCACTTCCATTGCCCTGCAATCCACGGCATCCCGTGCAGTGGAGTGGTTGTGGTGCGTATTTCTGTCAGTACCCAAGGCCTGCAGGAGACAACCGACCACAGTGTCCGGGAATTCTGAAGGAATGCTCGGAGTGTGCAGTTCTTGTCTGTGATGTAAGTCTATTCCCAACATCTCTTTTCATCTGTTCACTAACACACCTTTCAGCAATGCGCGTCCTCGAACCCAGCTTGCACATGCACGTTCTGCACTGTCAACTATCACTGTCCGACGTGCACACACAAACCCAATGTTCGCGCGAAATGTCGGCTTGAGGCAGAGATTAAACAGAAGAAAGAGGAGCAGCTCCGTGCGATAGCCAAGCAGAGGAAAGACAAGGAAGAGCGCGGAATGGCAGATGAGTTGGCTGGAGCAATGTTCGAGTTTTTCACAACAGTATACGATGAGAGCACCGGCAACCCGACCATGGACGGCTCCTCCGCATCGTTCACGCACGACCTGCCCATTCCGAGCCCAGACTCTATTACTGTAACCACAGAATTTGGTGTCATGGAAGAGCCTGCAAACTTGACGACAATTAGTGCATCTGGACCTTCACCCTACCACGCCGCTTATGACCATTCCGACGATGAAGAGAACAACGTCGAGATGACTGAAGATGTCAATGAGGATGTCGAAGCCCTTCAGCAGGGGCTAGCTCAAATGCATCTAACTCCCGTGCCCGGCATGAGTGCTCACATACTACATGTGCCGGTAGAAGTCGAGCCTGAACACATACACGATGACAACGGAGAAGAGTCTGATGAGGTCAACGACACCGGTGCCGAGGCGGACATAGATACCGACGACCTTGACGCGGGCGCTGAAAGCACCTTTGTAGACGAGTCCGGTGATGATACTTTGGTTGGAGGTATTCTTACACCCACAACCACCATCACGGCATGAGACTAGACCACTCAGACGCGACGCAAATACTGCTCATTTCAACAAAATAGCATAAAAATCTCTTTGGATGCAAGTCCTACAAAGAAACATTAAATTGACTTTAAGGAGTAAGGTTAGGGATCTACAGCCTCTAAGGAGGCGGGATCTAAAGCAGGTGATACCCAAGGGAAATACGGTGAAATGGGAAACAGCTACGGCTTGGTGGGCATACGGGAATATTGGAGTAGGAGTAGGCGGACATGGGAAACCTGTATTCTTTTACGTTACGCATTTTGGCGTTCATCCTTGCTGTTCATTCTAGAATTTGGTCTTGATTCAATTCAATCGTTTGAACTTGTCTGTATTATAGCCAATCTTTCTCCTTCAGTCAGCCCTCTGTTGACTGCTCTGAAGAATGCTTGTCTCATTTCCTTGCATGAGATAGCTGCATGATCTGGTGTAAAGACATGTGTATCATTGCTTAGACTATCACATTGTCTATTCCTTAGCGCTCAAAACCTCCTTGACAACCTTGATAACCTCTGCAAACGCATCCTTTGGCGCAGCTACCACACCCTTGTTCTCCCTGAGTGTCCTTCCGAGGCCAAAGTCAAGAGGCTTGCCGTACGCATCGCTGACCTCACCACCTGCCTCCTGAACGAGGACCACACCGGCAGCGTGGTCCCAGATCTTTTCCTGGTATGTCTTGCTGACTGGCAGTCTGAGGTACAAGTCACCGGCTCCACGGGCAATGGAGCAGTACTTGGCTTGCGAGTCCATGCGAACCGAAGGCTTGGTGATGCCGAGCTTTGATGCGATGGCAGCGTTGTCGCCTTGTGATGAGTGGCCTGCTTCTACGGATTCGCAGAATGTAGCTTGGGTGACATCTGAGAGGGGCTTCATCTTGATGGCCTTTGCTTCTGTGAGAGCACCCTTGCTCAGCGGTCGGCTTGTAGCACCCTGTCCCTTCACGGCACCGAACAGCACGCCCTTGCCCTCCTTGTCGTCTGCGTCTTGTCCGGTAGTGGTGGTCAGGGGAGCCTGGTCGTCGACTGGGAGGTTGGGGCAGCCGATGACACCTACGGTAGGTACGCCGTCTACGAGTAGACCCAAGCAGACAGCGTATTGTCCACCACGCAAGAATCCCTTTGTGCCGTCGATGGGGTCAAGTGCCCAGATCCTGCCCTTCCTGCCGCCCTCACTGTTTCCCTGGTCAAGCGCTGACAGCATAGCATCTGCGCTCTTGATGGGTCCACCAATCTTCTCCTCGGCAGAGCTGTCCTCTAGCTTCGCTGCTTGTACCAGATCCCAGACAAGGTCACGGAGCGAGTCGTTCTTGCGCAGGTCGTTGGCGTCCTCTTCGCCAACAACTTCGTCCTCTGGGAAAGCATGCTTTATCGATGCGATGATCAGGGCTTGCGCGCCGAAGTCGCCGATTGTGACAGGGGAGGAATCGCTCTTGGACAGCGTGCCCTTGGAGTGGCTCGAGTAAACCGACTTTGTGAGGATGGATGCTCGCTGAACAGCCAGGAGAGCGATCTCCAATTCCTTCTCGTAGGCCATTGTGTGTATGCTTCGATTCGAGTTCGTATACAAGTGTTGTGATGGATGAAGTGCGGTCGACGGGTAGATGTGGTGTTTCAGTTGAGAGAGACGAACAACACTACGAGAAAGCAACGATGGATTGAAGATGGAGATAGCCAGGATGACGAATGCTAGCAAGAAGAATCTTGATGGCGCAATTTGGGCGGGCATGGGCTAACACTAACAATCTTCAGCCCCTCGTTTCTTTGGTGGGGTTCTGCAGCCGGGTGGATTGACGCAACCCATCATCCATCAAGTGCTGGCCTGTGCGCTGCGGGCGGAGGTTACTGCTTTCGTCCTGGCCTGGACGCCATAGCAACAACACCAACGGCTTTCGACTCGTCTTGATGCACAGACATTCGAGACCGCTGTCTTGTCTCACGAAGCAGAAGTCTTGTCGTATTATTTTCGACACACCCATCTGACGCTGAGCGGATAACCGAGCTGTGCATCCGACTTACGCGACAGTAAACAAAGATCGACACAAAGACATCCTCACCGACGCGCGCATCTCAGAAACAAACTCGGATTATTCCCCCCATAGATCCGCATCACAGCGCACTATTCTCACTCCGACAGAATGGCTTCGGCAGAGCAGCCCGCGCTTGCGACCACAAAGCGCAAGTTCCACAAGCTCCTCGACAACCTCACGGCAAGCAATTCGACTACCTCCCTCGCGAGCACTCTGCAAGAGTCGAATGCTTCTACTGCTTCGCTCTCGGCACTTTCCGAGACAGGCAGCCCTGAGCACCCGAGCAAGCGCCCGCGCAGCGCAAACCTGAGTATGGAGCGTCAGAGGGGTATATCCGAAGGTCAAGAGCGCATCCGACAGCTAAAGGAACAGCTCATGACCCCACGAAGAGAAGGCACGATAAAAATCGTGGGCAAGACTTTGGTAACGCCAAAAACTTCAACGCCGAAAGCCTCCACGCCGCGCAAAGCGCCAAACTTCCAGCCATATAGCCAAGATCACTTCCTCGAGAGGCTGAAGACGTTTGCAGATGTGCGGAAGTGGACTACCAAGCCGGATGCCATCAACGAGGTTGAATGGGCAAAGCGGGGCTGGAGCTGCGATATCTGGAATACAGTAGCTTGCAAGGGCGGATGTGAAAATCGTGTTGCGGTCAAGTTGAGGCCAAAGCGCAAAGATGCTAACGGCAAGGAGCTCGAGATGAGCGAGGACCTGGCCTTTGATATCGATGAGGCTTTGGTAGATAGATACAAGGATCTCATCACCGAAGGTCATGCGGATGACTGCTTGTGGAGGAAGCGCGGCTGTCAAGGTACGATAAAGTATGCGCGTGTAGCAGTCACACCACTAACAACATGAACAGAAGACATTTATCATATCCCCATCGCATCGCGGACGAAGAGCTCAGCCGAATTGCTCGATCGATACCGCTTTCTCAAAGCCATATCCGCCGAACTTCCCCTCCTCGAACACATCACATACCCCGAACCATCCATACACCACATCCTTGAACGCATACCATCATCCTTCTTCACTTCAGCAGGCACCGAACCACCTCTATCGCCCAGCGATATCGTGGCATTTGTCTTTGCCCTCTTTGGCTGGACCGGTGTCTCGGAATCCCGCATATCCCTCGCAGTATGCAACCACTGCTTCCAGCGCCTAGGTCTCTGGCTCTCCTCCGCCACGCGCCTCAAGGAGATGAGCAATAAACTGGACGTGCCCATTGAAAGCCTGCGCCTCAACCTTCTCGAATCCCACCGCGAACACTGCCCCTGGAAGAACCCAGATGTCCAAGCAAACTCAAAAGACGGTCCTATCGCCAACATGCCCGCTTGGCAAACCCTCGAATTCATGCTGCTCGGTCGTAACAGAGATATTGCCGCCGGTGTCCACACTCCACTTAAACAAACGCCTAGGAAGCAACATGCTAGGAACAACGATAGCATCGATGTGGGCAGTGAGCTCGAGTATCCGCGTGGCAGTATGGATAGCGTCGAGAGACCCAAAGACCACGACGACGATGAAGATGGTGGTTTGCGCGAGAAGTGGAGTAAGCTCAAGGCGAAACTGAAGCGCAGTGCAAGTAAGAAGAGTTTGAAGAGTACGAAGAGTGGGAAGAGCACCAAGAGCGGGAAAAGTGTTATGACAAAGGCTGACAAGGAGAAGTCTTAGGCAGGCTTTCTTCGGAGTCGGTATCGTCTTGGATGAACGGTGTTGTCTGGTCATCTTCTTATTTTTCTAGGTATGATTTATGGGACACAATATTTTGTCGCTGGGCGCCTCTACGGTTGTATTGATATACCCTTGTAATGAAAGCTGTTGGAGGTAGTGATTCGAGAGATGTGCATCATGAAACCAGCGAGATAACAAAGGTGTTGAACTATTGCATCATGACATTCACACGTAGGTATGCGTGATAGACTAAGCAGCTATGCTCCCGATGATAAATGAAAATAACAAAACGCCAACCCAGATGCAGACCATAGATCGTGGGCAAAAGCCGAAAGTGTCCCAGTGACTTTTGGGGGATGATGACGCCTAGGCACCCTCTTCCATCTTCACGTCCTCCTCATCGACTTTCGCAACTCCCTCTTCTTCTTCAGCCACCATGGCCTCGGTGGCTTGCTCGCCATCACTGACACCGTCTTCAGCCGCTTCCTCAGCTTCGAGAGCCTTCTGCTCCGCCTTGGCCTTGTCCGCGACGTGGTTGATAATCTCAGTATCCTTCTCATTGAACAACCGAAGCAACATGGCCTTGCGGTCGTCCTTGTCGACCATGAGGTTGGCGCTGCCAGGATGTCTCCAGAGTGGCAGTACCATGCGGAATGGGATGCCCTGCTCTTCATCCTTCTCAACACGGATAAAGCAGCAACCGACGTCCATTGGCTGGAGCTGCTCGCCGACCTCACCCAGACCGGTGTCGCCCTCCTTTGGCAGCTTGGGGAACATCTCTCGGATGAGTTGGTGCAATGTCTCCTTCTTCTCCAGCTTGACTATCCGCTTCTTAGCCCATGGCTCAAGAATACGGATACCCTCATTCTGCAGCCTCCATGGCGCTTGAGTACGGTCCTGGTCCTTAATCTTGTGCGAAACGAACATCACAACACCGCAATGTATGAACTTCATGCCACGGTCCTTGTTCAGAGAAAGAATGATCTTTGCAAGGTCGGAGGTGTAGTAGATCTTGTTGAGGGAAAGACCCTCCTTGTTCTTGACCATGAAGCGGTCGCGTGGGAAGCGATCGTCGATGCCGAAAAAGTCCATGATGTTGGCGATGGTTGGGTCATCAGAGGGAAGGTACTCAAAGTACTCCTTGGCTTGGGACTGGTTCTCTGGCTTCAAACGGGCAGCCGAGCCGTTAGTTGCGGGTTTGGCGTCTGGTGTTGCTGCTGCTTCCTCGGTCTTGGCCTTCTTGGGCGCTTCAGCGTCTTCAGACTCCTCCAGCTTACGCTTCAACGGAGCCGCATCAGAGGCATCCGCAGACTCCCCTTTAGTAGCGTCTGCCTCGACCACATTCTCATCAGGGGTTGGGATCGAGGAGTCGGTAGTCGTCTCAGCAATGTCGTGTGACCTTTGGGCCTTGGCTGCGTTCTCTGGGTTCTGTACTTGCGCAATCTTGATGTCGTCCAGCTTCTCAAGAATGGCAATGAAGAAACCGCCAGTGTCTTGCAAATGTGGGTAGACACGGATGCAGTGTTCGAGAGGGATGCGCTCCTCTTCGGACGTTGGCACAGGCGGGAAACATCCGGGAGTGACCTTGGTGGAGAACTGGCGTTCTGGCTCCTCGGCCTCGTACTTGGCCCTTGCCTTCTGGTATGCCTCCCAGTTGGTGAACATATGAGCAGTCTTCTCTCCTGCAGCGGTTACTGAGGATGTGTCGAGCACCTTCCACGAGTTGAGACCCGGCTTTCGCTTTAGGTTTGGCAGATGATCTGAGCAGTCTACTAGTCGGACCTTGGAGTTTCCTCCGCAAGCCTCAATAGCTGCTGCAACGACAGCTTCGTTCTCGACAGGGTTCAGACTGCAAGTAGAGTAAACCATACGGCCACCCTTCTTCAGCATCTGAAGACCTCGGAACAGGATGCGTAACTGGAGACCATGTAGGCCAAGACCATCCCTGGGGCTCCACTTCTGCCATACGTTCGGGTTCTTACGGGCTGTGCCGTCACCAGAGCAGGGCACATCAGCCAATATCCTGTCGTACTTCAGGTACTGCTTCTTGTTGCCGTCGCTGGGTAGTTCGATCGAAGGGAAAATTGAGGCGTCGTGTTGCGTGACAATGAGGTTGGGGAAGTTGAGACGTTTGACTTGGTGGACCAACATGCCGGCACGCTTGTAGTCAGAGTCGTTCGCAATGAGGAGACCTGTTGAACGTCCGCCGTCGCTGTAGTCACCGTCTTGGGTAAGGTCAACCGATTCGCCGTTCGCTACCCGCTGTACGCGCTCCTCTTCGTCTCCGTGGATCATCTCAGCCAACTGCGCCGACTTGCTTCCCGGTGCTGCGCACATATCGAGGACCACCATTCCTGGCTTCACATCGAGGAAATGTGGCGGGATCATACTGACAACTTCCTGTCTGCTGATGTTTCCTGATGCCGCTTCGGCGACGAGGAATTTCTGGAAATCGGCAAAGGGCGCATGTCGTCGAATGACCTTCTTGTGCGTCTTCATGTGCCACACGAGCTCGTCAGGGAAGGCCTCCACAGCCTCGGGAGGCGACACTGGCTTGCCTTCGAAGCGCGTGGATGCGATAGCGGGGACATAGCGCTGCTTAAAGATTTCGCGCACTGCGAGAGCATCGGACTTGGTGCCAGTAAAGCGAAAACTGTTGGGCAGGTCGGTTTGGAGCGCCTTCCACATCTCCTCGAACTCTGCTTCTTCCAAGAAGCCTCCCATTTTGTAGTAGCTCTCGAAGAGCTCATTCTTGCGCTCGATGGTGGACCATGGCTCTGAGCGAGTATCACGTCCTCCACCACCACCACCGCCACCGCCGCGACCTTTGCCCTTGCCGCGGAATGCTTTGCGACCACCGCCCTATGCGAAGTCAGTGGGCGTTGTACATGTGTGGCGCATACAGTGTCTACTTACGCGACCTCCACCTCGTCCCATTGCTGCGAGTAGGTATATGTAAAACTTGAAATTTGTAAACCTGCAGCAGCTGTCGCAAGTTGGTAGCTCTCAGGAAAATGTCGACAGCTTCGACGAGCGGGCCAATAGAGCGGGGCATTAGCGCTGCGTTCTGTCTTGGCGGCGCACTAGCGCCCGCACATGAATTTCGTGCTGGCCAGCCGAACTTTGTTCCTCCAGCTTCCGACAACAACAAGGATACTAACCACCAGCAAAATGGCCCGCTCATCGTGAGTATACCGCTGTGTCAATTCATTGCAGTCATGCTAATTCATCCAGCGTCCCCACCCAGAATGACATCGCTGTCCCCGAGTCGGTGCTCAAGAAGCAGAAGGCCCACCAGAAGACCAGCGACTCTCAGGCCGCTGAGTTGAAGAAGAAGCGTGAGGTATAACAGTCTCCCAGAACCTGCGCAAGCAGATAGGAGTATCACAGTTGGCTAAGATTTCTTAGGCCAGCAAGCAGAAGCGCGAGGTCATCAAGGAGCGCGCCGCCAAGTACACCCAGGAGTACGCAAAGGCCCAGCGCGATGTCATCGAGGCCAAGCGTGCCGCGAAGCGCGACAACTCTCTCTTCGTCCCCGCTGAGTCCCGCCTTGCCTTTGTTGTCCGTATCAAGGGGTATGTCAAATTTTTCAAGACGGTTCAAAATCCATTCTAACTCGCGCAGTATCAACAAGATCGACCCCAAGAAGCGCAAGACCCTCCAGCTCCTCCGTCTTCTCCAGATCAACAACGGTGTCTTCGTCCGCCTCACCAAGGCCACCAGCGAGATGCTGAAGATCGTCGAGCCTTTCGTCGCTTACGGATACCCCAACTTGAAGACCGTCCGCGAGCTTGTCTACAAGCGCGGTTACGGAAAGGTCAACAAGCAGCGCCTGCCGATCACCGACAACGAGCTCATCGAGGCCAACCTCGGCAAGTTCGGTATCACCTGCATTGAGGACATCATCCACGAGATCTACACCGTCGGCCCCAACTTCAAGGCCGTCTCCAACTTCCTCTGGCCCTTCAAGCTCTCTTCCCCCACTGGCGGTTTCCGTACCCGCAAGTTCAAGCACTTCATCGAGGGTGGTGACCTTGGTAACCGCGAGGAGTTCATCAACCAGCTCGTCAGGCAGATGAACTAAGCTGTTGTGCTTTTGTTCCATGGGTGGAGTAACGGTTAGCTTCAAAACGATACCATGAAGATTACGACTACTGGTCGCCCACTCCTCGACAGAGGATGGAGGGCAGGCCGAGCCACATGCTCTGGTTAGCTTAGACAATCTTCTGCACATCAGCTGGAGGAAGAATTCAAAAAGTTCATTCCACTTTGTCCCCTGCGATCCATGCCGATAATGAGTGAATGTATGCACTTGACTTTTTTTTTATCAGTAGCCCATGTCAAAATCATCGTCTTTCTCCACCTTGATTAAATCCTCCTGACTCCTACATCTCAAATGCCAAAGCTCACGCAAACGACCTAGACTTAGGCGCTCTAGTCGCCATTCCGACATACGTTGTTCATCTGCATCAGGGACCCGACGTGACAAGATACGCTTGAGTGACAAGGGATTTGGTCCGTAATGAACGACCATGTAGAGACACATTGCTGTTTCGGTCGGTTCAACAGCTTCTCGACAAGGTTTGATGAATAAAGTTTCGTCTTAGTGTAGTGTGGTATTGTGGGTTTGGATGAACAGCAGTAATTTGATGTAATGAGCGTGCATGAAGCGGATGGAGTGTTGTGGATTACACCAAGGAAGGTGCAGATCCAAGATTATACGTGAATGGGTGAGTCAAGCACATGCCCTGATGATATCGGGCCCAAGCTGAGCTGACCTGTTCTCAACATGGATGGAGTACTATGTCAACTAGGGGATCGAACGATTCTGCGCGACATGGGTTCAAATGGAAGGTATGGGGATGGATTGGAAGGGCTTATGGTTTGGGCGCAGGACAAGGGTAGCCTGGAGAGAACAAAGCCCTACGGATAGAGTTTCTTTGATACCCGCGCATCTCCGGTCAGGTGAGGCTGCAAGCAGCATTGTAAGTATATTCGCCGACGGTTATGTGAATCGTAGTTCTGGATCGAGTGGAAGTCATATTGTATACTTGAAACGTCTGTCCGTGTCGTTTGGTGGATGTTAAATTGGGCGTGAGCAGAAGAGGGGAAGGAAACATCGCTCTCTTATGCTTTGGAGAAGGTATGGCTGAAGATTTTCGTTGAGATCAGTGTGCGATTAGTATTGATTCCAATGAGAGTACAGGAAGAAGTAATCGTATGGACACAATCGCGGACTCGCACCCTCGAACCTGTGACTAGAACCTTGAATTTGAGCATAGGTAACGACTGCATTGGAATCGCTCACAGAATGTGCTCTTCGAGCACAAGACGTCTATCATACAGTATACAGAGATCCGTCGATGTCTTTTGATAAAGACAAGATATCCATCGGAGACCGCCGCCTCCCGTTTAGGTAGAGCGCCCTATCATACCCCACGACGCTGCCCCCACACTTCCGGCTGCGCCGCAAAGTGGCAAAGGCAGCTACCTGGTATCCTTTTACTCGATGCCATCAAGTCAGATACATCGTACACATGCTGGCGGTGTTTTTCCTCCATGTTCATCAATCGTCGCAAGCACGTACCAAGAGCGGTGCCTGTGGCTGTGACACCTGCTTTCACATACCCGTACCGCCAGTACCTCCAGGTCCGAAGAAAAATCCGTCGAAAAGGTCCAATCCATTACCCTAGAAAGTTTCGTTAGCATACTGTCTCTCATATGTTGAGAAAGCAACTTACATCACTCCAATCATGTGTCCCATCACCAAAGCCCATTCCAAACCCAATCCCTATGTCTTGTACTCCACCGCTGCCTGCATCTGTCCCGCTGCTTGCACCCTGCACGGGGAAGCTATCCAAGAAATCCAAGTCTGAGAAACCTAGATCGGGATAACTGGACGTGACATTCTGCGCAAAGCTGTTGTAAGGCACCTGATTGCTAATCTGGTATGGTGAGGGCATGGGTGGATTGGCAGGTGGTGTAGTGGAGAAGGCGTTTTGTTGGTTCGGGCTAGTCATATTTGGACTTGCAGCGAAGAAGCTGTTCTGTTGTTGGTGGGTACTGCGGAGTTGTGGGGAAATTTTCAAGTCGGCTGTGAAGGGCTGCATTTGTTGTTCGGTTTTCATTGGTGCAGGAGGGGGCCGCATGGCGTTGACCTGGTTGCTCACGCGGCTGAAAGACCGCTTGTCTGTCTCGTCATCTGAGAAAAGATCCTTGAGGTTCATGTCGAAGCGTGGCACTGGTCGACGCTGTTGTTGCTGTTGCTGTTGGTGGCTGAAGAAGCCGCCTGTATTTCTTGCTCCATAACCTTGCATTTCAGTATCTGACCTGGCATCTGTATCGGCTGCAGATCTGTATGCAGTCGTCGGCGAAGTCTGTGTTGGGTACTGCTGTGCTTGCGGGAGTGACCGCAGAGCCTGAGGTCCAAAGCCTGTCGTGGACATGCACATCTGAATGGTGGCTTTACTCATCCGATCGAATGCGTCGCGGCATGCTTCTGCTGGCGGACACTTGTCGACGAGGTCACCCAGTACGGATGTTGCGGCAAGGACGGTAAAGTCGACGTCGTCAAGGGACTGCATTAGTTAGATTTACATATTACACCAGTTACGTGTAGCCACGGTTACACAACAGGATCAGATATACATACCAATAAACTGCGTACATGGACGCTATGCCACACTGCATAGAGGAATGAGATGCCTGCGCATGTTAGCGCTGTTGAGTTCCGGTGAAGATTTAACTTACCAGCCATGAAAAGGTGATGAGTTGCGAGGAAGGTGTAGTTGACAAGGTGCACGCGATGCAGTTGTCGGTACAGCTTCAGAACCTTCTGGCCAGCTTCGGCTACCTTGAGGAAAACCAGGTCTTCGTCTTCACGTTCCTCAAGATTACTCATTGAGGGGCTTCCCATATCGGAGCCAGTGTTGCCCAGTTCTTCTTGCAGACCAGAGGGGACGACTAGGCTCTGCCGGTACAGCATGATCAATGCTTGCCAGTAATTGAGCTCTAGGAACAGCGGTGAAAACTGCACACCAGCGTCCATCTGTGTTGGCGCCGAGTCTTTCCATTCCAGTAATCGCCTGTCGATGTCCACGCGCCATGCGCGGAAAGACTCAAAATTGATTAGGAATGGCGAAGGCAATTTTGTGTGCATAAACTCATTGCTTCGGTTTGCACCACTTGCTCTTGCCTGCTGTGCTTGCCGGTGCTGTAGGACTTGCAGAATTTCAGACTGCAGTAGTCTCAGCCGGAAGTAGTGATGGGCTACGATCTTGTACGTGGGCTTCTCCTGGTGCACTGGCGGTTCCAGGAATCCTTCTTTGGTGATATATCGATCATCGAGAAGCGAAGGAAACTCGGTAGTCACAATCTGGTCTGTGATACCCTATCTACCTGTTAGTCTTTCCAAGCATTTCTACATCAAGATTGAGCTTCTTGCAAAATTGCCATAGCATATATGCGGGATCGTAATATGACCGACATGATCGGTAGCACCATACGAGAATGGAGACTGTACTTACAAAAGGTCTGCCAACACACGTGCTCACTAGCCGGTCCAGCGAGTAGACGCACCACCACAGGCGTCTCCGCAGGTCCCTGACCCACTGTCTGCGACCTCTTTCCTTGGCGTCTATCTTCGAAGGGTTCCCGCCGCTGGCAGCTGTCGTATTCCCGTTGCCCTCGGATTTGAAGAAGGCGGTTTCGGCGGTTTGGTCTTCCGCACCCGCCCCGTCGATACCCACACCGTCCTCGTAATGCAACCCTAGGTCCACTCCAAGACGGACGGCAACACCGACAATGTACCACAAGCCAGGGGCGACGGGTCTCAGCAGAGCAAACCCTGCGAGCAGTAGCACAGCTTGTAGTTCTTCAAGGCCGCCGCCGAAGCCGTCGGGACGGTCCGCAGCGGGTGAGGAACCCAGGAAGTTCTC